AGGGGGACAGGTGAAGAAGCCTAGGAGGTATGGGCATGATATTAATAGGTAATAAAAGAAGAAATATGGTAGCATAGGGTAAAAGAAAGTGATGTCAAAAGGAATTGACCCAAGGAAACAACAGAGATTATGAGCACAGGGATAGAATTAATGAAACTGAAGGGCCAGAGAGTAAAGGATGAAGTAGGAAATGGGAACCAAATGTGACTCATACATGAAAAGAGGGGATGGTAAGAGCAAAGAAACCTATTCCAATGGGAATGAACCCAGGGACTTAGAAGAATATAGCATAAGTCAGTGATATCAAATGGGGAGGGAACAAGAAAATGCCCAAAATCCTCAAGAAAATAAATTCGGAGGAGAGTGAAATGGGTAGGTTAGACAAAAGTGGTCAAAAATAAGGTTAATACCTGGAGTGGAGATGAGATAAAAGCAAGCAATGGTAATTAAGGGAGCCTAACACACAACATGTGAAAGTAACAGAGTAGAAGAAAGAGACATTCAATGGGAATGGTCCATAAGAACTATGGAGGATCAAACTACTGAAATGAACCTAGCAGATAATAAATGATTAACAGATAATAAATGACAAGGCAGAAGGTCATACAGCACAAGGCAAAAAAGAAAAGAAAATAAAAGAAAAGAAAAGAAAAGAAAAGAAAAGAAAAGAAAAGAAAAGAAAAGAAGAGAACAGAAAAGAAAAGAAAAGAAAAGAAAAGAAAAGAAAAGAAAAGAAGAGAACAGAAAAGAAAAGAAAAGAAAAGAAAAGAAAAGAAAAGAAAAGAAAAGAAAAGAAAAGAAAAGAAAAGAAAAGAAAAGAAAAGAAAAGAAAAGAAAAGAAAAGAAAAGAAAAGAAAAGAAAAGAAAAGAAAAGAAAAGAAAAGAAAAGAAAAGAAAAGAAAAGAAAAGAAAAGAAAAGAAAAGAAAAGAAAAGAAAAGAAAAGAAAAGAAAAGAAAAGAAAAGAAAAGAAAAGAAAAGAAAAGAAAAGAAAAGAAAAGAAAAGAAAAGAAAAGAAAAGAAAAGAAAAGAAAAGAAAGGGGAACCATTCAAGAAAACAGAGGATGATGTCTAGGCAAGAAAGGGTGGGTAGGGGAGGAGGAGATATATGAAACTGTTTGTCCTAGAAGAGGCAGGAGTACAGCCACAAACAAAGCAAAGTGCCAGGGAAAACTTGAATAGAAATGAAGATTGTGGAGATGAAGGAGGTATGAATAGAGATTGTTGCAAGAAAAGGGCAAGATAATAATGTCTGGGGGTAAGGAACTTCAGGAAAATCAGAGAACCCAGAGGTGAGTCTTCATCTTCATTAAGTAAAGGTGAACTGTCATGAAGTGAAATCACTTCTGGAATCTCCAACTTCCCAGGAGTGAAAAAAAAACCATTAAGGGTTGGGGTCAGTTGCACTTCAAGGAACTCCAAAATCCTGGAAGTCAAATGGAATGTTCATTCAAAAAGTTAAAACCCAGTTCACTTCCCAAGACTCAAAGTTCCCACAGGTGAATCATCATCTTGATTGATAAAATCCAATTGGGGGTTTTGAGTATTTCAGGGAAGTGAAAAGTGGACTTCACTTACTTTGGGGTTGACCTACTTGAAATACTCCAAACCCCCAATTGGGTTCTTTTCCAGGAGGGACACTACTATAGTGAAAACTACTGGTGTGATTTCACATGGGGTAAGAAGAGTATTGGAAAAGTGAGAAGAGGAATTACTTGGATGAAAGTAGGAAAACTCACCGAGATGGAAATGTGAGCAAGGAAGGATACTACAGGTGGAGAGAGGTCAGCAATGCAGAAGAAAATAGGGAGCAAGCATAAGATAAGTCTTTGAGAAAAAACCATATAAGAGAACAAAATACTATGACACCATCTATCATAAATAATGTTGATGAAACAAAAAAGACTTATTTTACTTTGAAAGCAAAAGAGCAATGAGACTATAATATATACCTTAAGGGTCAATCCTATGAATTGGTGATCAAGGAAAGCCCCAAATGATGAAACCTCAGACTGGAACAAAAAAGACTTATTTTATTTTGAAAGCAAAGGGCGCTGAGACTATAATATATACCTTAGGGCTCAATCCTTTGTATTACTGATCAAGGAAAGCCCCAAAGTAGGAAACCTAAGACTCGATTTTGTAACCCTAGGTGTCAGCCTCTTGCATGGGGATTACTCTGGGGTAAAGTATGGTCAGCAGAAAGTAGTGATTGTATGGAAGAAACCAAGGGTCCCAGTGAGGCAAAATGTCCTTTTGGAGTACCCATAAGAGGGGAAGCTCATATTCCATAACCCTAGGGCTTGGCCTCTAGAGCCACTGTTGTCACTAGGGTTAGGTACACTAACCCTCACCCTAAGACGAGCCAGCTGAAAGTAGTGATTACATAAGCGTAAAAAAATGTGGTCCAATGGTAGCAAATTTTTATTTGTGGAAAGGTCATGGGAGGTTCATGATTAACTTCAGTAACCCTAGGGCTCAGCCTCTTGGAGGTGGATGCAAGCTAGGGTTACGTCCCGTAACCCTAACCGTAACCCTAACCCTAAGGTGTCCCAAAAGTGTTTTTAGGTCATTTGGGAACACTTTTTTCAGTGGTGTTACCTTGTTACCTCCTCACCAAAATTGGGTAACAGGCGCCACGCCCAGGGCCCTGCGGGCCCTGGGCGTGCCACTAGGTAGCGCACCTATCACAAGAACCCAGCTCGATGTTGAATACACAGCCTTCACCATGACAATCATAAAGACACTGCTGACAACTCATCTACAAATTAAAATGAAATTTCATGATGAGTTTCTTACTTGCCAGTATTTCAGGAGTGAATTCACCTGAAGATGTGTCTCCTGGAAGTGTGCCTCTTGTTGTAAATGTTATATTGGTGTTAATGTTCTATGTGGAATATGCTGATGAGGTGGAAAAATTGAGTCTGGGACCAAAGCCTAAGAGTCAGAGAAGAGAGAGGGGTCAGACCCTATTCAAGTTGATAAGATCTGAAAAGGCTGAGGTTAGAGATACGGAGTTAGATAAGTACAGCACCTGTGGTATATGGACAGTGATAGCAGATAGAGTGTGGAAGGGATCCTCTGGATAAGGGTTACCTCTGGTGAGTAATTCTAAGATAGTAGACCAGGAGAGTTGAAACACTCACTGCTTGATGTAGTGGACAAATTTCTGACTGAAAGATGGGGATAATATTTCTAAGGGTTATAACTATCTAGTGACCAGGCTGAGCACATCAGGGGACTGATGAGGAACAAATGATGAGGTGAAACATAGCTCCTTATATACAAAAGCTAGGGAGTGGCCAGCTTGTGGGTTGAACAATCAAGTTTTCCAAGGGTTAGGGTGAGGTTTAGACCTTGCCATTTTACCTCTATGCATATGCACTGTCAGAGCTTCAATCTCTGAAGTTTGAGCTTATTTCCCCAAAAGGAAGTAAACTCTGAACCTCCTATTAGCAAAAGGACTTAGCTGGGCCCATTAACCAATAATGAAATAAGACTTGTATGATCCAATGGTTGGGGTTAGACTTGACATTAATTCAATTTCCTAACCCGCTTTCTTCAAAAATGACAGTAGAAGACCTCCTAGAAATGTGATACATTATGACAAATGGTCAACTACTCACTAGCCGGGCTGCTTGACTTGGAAAATTACCAATTCATTGAAAATACTCTGTGCTTTCATGGGCCTGGAAGTCTCTACTCAGAGGCAATCTCCTGGGTACTGATCTGATTTAGGTATTGACCTTGACTTGTTACCTGGCTATATATGTAGACCCAAATCAATATTGGGCTGCATGAACAACCCCTTGAGGGCCATGGGGTTTTTGCAACCCTAGATGACCCAGCAGGCCTTGGGCATGACACTTGGTCTGATGGGGTTTGAGGAATAAGGGCTCATTCCAAGGGGTGGGGGTGTTACAAATGTGAGTGGTTGAGGTGTTATCAGTCAAGAACAAACAACAAATATCAATGAAAAGCTTTTTTTTATCTAATGAAAGTCTTTATTCAAATCAATGGGTTTTCTTTTTCTTTTTTTTGTTCTCTTTCTCAGAAGATGAAGATTGTGACTTGATTTTATTCTCTAAATCCTCAATTCTTTCTTTAAGAGTCATCATTTCTCTGTAATCTTCTCCTAGTGATGAGAATAATGAATCAATAACATGTTGTTGCTCGGCCAACTGTGCTCGCAATTTCCAGACATAGATATACCCTTATGAAGTAGGACAAAGTAATTAGTAAACCTCTTCAAGAGCAGAAACATGCCATTCACTTACAGCCAGGCAGTTCACACCTATATCCTTTATCTTCACACCGAGTGCACTTTCTGTTTCCATCCTCAACGGTACATTTCCAACCATCTCCATCTCTGATGCATCTTTTGCAGGTGAGCTGGTATATGAGACTATCAACAAAATATCAAAGATCATCATCATAGGAATAAAAAAGAAACTCAACTGTATGACAAAACATGTGATCTGGGTTCATATTGCTATGATATAGTGCTCTCAATGATAAGATTACTGTTTCACAACATAAATATATGAATTAGGGTCAATAGAGTTGGATGGATATGTCAACCTGGATTTCTTGTACTTACTTTATTTCCTCTTCTTGTATCAGCAAAGGTAGGGATGGTTTGGTGGTGAGAGTGAAGCAAGTGATGGGGGAATAAAAACAAAAATGTGCCTCTCTTATATAGTAAATTAGACCCCTGGGGACCCATGGGTGGACTTGTGGTTTGCTCACATAAGCAAATGCTTGACTTGTGGTTTGCTCACATAAGCAATACTTGACCCTGGGGCTTTTTGAATATTCTTGCTTCTCCTCCTTCTTCTCTTGATCTTTTTCTCAAGGGCTGGTCAGCTTGATGTATCCATCTGTGCTGGTTTCTATTTGGATTAGAACTAGGGTTAGGGAAGTTTTTCTAACTCTTGAATTCTAACCCTCTCTCAAGCTGTCTTATGGTTGTTATCCAGAAATTCATGCAACTTGGTTGTATTTAATATTGAATTTTACATCCCATAGCCTTCATAGTTTTTGGGTGTATCACATATAAGGCTGCATAGTATGAATCCTCATCTGAACTAGTCATGTTACAAATTGTAGAGTCTTCAAATATTTGGTCAAAGTTTAGATCCCTTTCTTCGGTCCCATATTCTTGTGACTTGATAAAAAGTATGTCTTGGACGATGGAGTTTATCTTCTTTGTTCTGGTATAGTGGAGTTTAGAAACCATTTTGGTGACCTGCTCCAAGGACTCAATATTATTGGGTCTTCTGAATATGTGAGTCAATGTGATATGTCAAACAATGTCAGCTTCAATAATAGTTCAAAAATAAAGGCATGGAGAGGATAGTACAAACATCTTGATCAGTAGTGTGGACAACTCATGCCAATAGAAGGGCAATGGTAGCTCTGATAAGCACAATGTCTGTGATTCCTCCTCCAAAACATTTTTGAGGTATCCCAAGGAAAACCAGGCTGGTGGGATTATCTCTCCAAGGTTGTTATCTTGAAGCTTGATGATGTCCTGAATTGGAATATTGACTTCTTTTCCTGGTACCAACTCTTCAATGAGTGATTCTGGGATGTTTTTGACTAGACTTGATATGTTGTTGTTTGCAATAAATCCAAGGGTTTGGGTTAGGGCCAGTTGCCTAGATATCAGGAATCTCTTCTCGACCATCTGGTAATTTGAGTATGTCATCTTTGGTTGTTGGTGAGGGAGTAAGTAACATGAGGCATCAGGTGATTCTGCAATTGTTGACACATAGAGGTCTTTTGGTATGGAGGGGTGCATGCAGGCTTACCTAGGTTGGTGAACTTGTAATTTATCACACTGATAGGTCGGCCTCAAGTCAGATGGATTGATAAAGAAAAAGCATCAATAATTGCAGCGCTTTATATGTAAATCAAGTCTGTCTGTCAGAAATTCAGCTGGCTAACTTGTGGGTGAGTTAGGGCTGGGGATGAAACATAGCTGTGTACTTAACCTTACCCAACTCCTTCTCTACATCAGCTAAACTCTTTTGTTAAAAGGAAACACTTCAATATGAATATGGTTTTGCCAAATTAACTAACTAGCACCTTCAATGGTTCAAGTACAAATCTGAACCCAATCTTCCAAGTGTGTCCCATTGTTATTCCATATTCATCCCATTGTTACCTAAAATTGACCCTGTGTTATGACATCTTACTTGCTGTTTGGTCTAACCGTGACAAGTATTTCATCCAGAATTCTTCAATGACCAAAGCTGAGGTTTTGGCATCTTGAACCACCCATGTTGAGGATTTGAACAGAAACCATCCATTTGACAATTCACGGTTCAGATTAGATGACCTCCCACCCAACCAACCCAACCACTCAATGCAAATTATCCTTCCCTCCAGGGAATTATTTGCACACACTGGACAGATTGGCCAATTTTTATTTTGCCTAAGTCAAACATTGGATTTGGCTACCTTTCCCAGGAGAGTTTTGGGATTTGGCTAGCTTTCCCAGGAGAGTTTGGCACTCCAATGATTCCCTGCAGAATCAGATGTTCACCCACCAGACTTCACAACTGTATATGATTGGGTCCTGAAAAATCAATAAAATCATCTATCAACAGTTCAAGGAAAAGGTTTGGAAATTTTTAAACCAGTAGAAGGATGGTGAAAGCAGCCAGCAAAGAATGTCTTTCCATATGCTTAGCCTTCTTCAGTCCCTCCAAGGTTGAGTGGTCAATATATTGGGCTCCAAATCAGAACATCAGTTTGCACTGAGAGGTCAGTGGAGCTCACCTCAAGTTTGCTTTTCCTGAGTGCCTGGCTCTGTGAAATATATTGAATGAGTTAGATATTCATAATTTGGACCATGTAGCTCTTGGAATTGGAAGTCAAAGTTCAGACCCTATGGCCTTTTGTAATTGATGACCCTGCCAGATTAGGGTGTGGAGCTTCCAGGAGGTTTTCAACTCCAAGGAGGCTGGTTATGTGAATGTTGATTCTGTTGTATGAATGACTGATTGATTCTGGATGTAAAAACATTGGATCCTATAAAATACTAAAAGGGTCTGATGGATGAAGGCTTGTTCTTCTTCCTTTGACATCCCCAAAATGACTGATAATCTTCTTCAACTCAAACTCCTTAACCTCCCCACTCAAACGAAAAAGCCCAAGGAATCAAATTCAGAAATTCCCATCTGGATTCTTCTCAGATTCAGTGATCCACCATAGGCAGTCATTTTCCACATCAGTCTATTCAAGTTTGCCTTGAAATCAGTTTTGTTCCATTGAGATGATGGTGTGCTCAGTTTCTGGTTCAGATTCAGGCTTGATTGGTGGTGACAAAAGTGGTCTGGTCTCAGCTGGGATCCCGTTATCCTCATCTTTGGGTAACTTGGATTGTGCGTCAATCAAGGCTTCTGGGCTGGTCTCTTTGGAGGAAACAATTTGAGGCTTCTCTTCCTTGTTGTTGTGCTGAATTACCACCCGCTTTTTTGATACCTTTCAAAATGGATGGTCGCTGTCGTCACTCTCACTAGTGTCTGAATCTGAGTCAGAGAAGATTTGAGGGCTTGGTTTGCAATCCACTGGTTCACTTGTGTAAGTTTGCCTAGTAGTGCTGCCTTGCACAATGTCATCAGGAGCATCTTCTCTAGAAGTTGTTGGCGCGTGTCATTGCAATTCACCTTGAATTGTTTTCTGAAATCTTGAGAAGCACCCGTCAATGTCTGAGCAATAAAATTCGTAATACTCCCTTGTTGTTGTGCTGAATTACCACCAGCTTCTTTGGCACCTTTCAAAATGGATGTTCGCTGTCTTCACTCTCACTAGTGTCTGAATCTGAGTCAGAGAAGATTTGAGGGCTTGGTTTGCAATCTACTGGTTCACTTGTGTTAGTCGGCCTAGTACTGCTGCCTTGCACAATGTCATCAGGAGCATCTTCCCTAGAAGTTGTTGGCGCGCGTCATTGCAATTCACCTTGAATTGTTTTCTGAAATCTTGAGAAGTACCTGTCAATGTCTGAGCAATGAAATTCGTAATATGTCACTGGATCACCTGAGTCCTCTGACTAAACCAGAGGAAAGCCATCCCCAGCAGCAAAACCACTTACCTGAGAATGATTGGCTTGCCTTTGAAATCTCTTATCTCCCCTCTTCCTTTGACATCCCCAAAATGATTGATAATCTTTTTCAACTCAAACTCCTTAACCTCCCCACTCAAATGAAAATGGCCAAGGAATCAAATTCAGAAAGTCCCATCTGGATTCTTCTCAGATTCAGTGATCCACCATAGGCAGTCATTTCCAACATCAGTCTATTCAAGTTTGCCTTGAAAATTCAGTTTTGTTCAATCCAAGACGTGGTGGTTGTACTCAGACTTCTAGGTTCAGAATTCAAGGCTTGATTGGTGTGGACAAAAGTGGTCTGGTCTCAGCTGGGGTTCCGTTGTCATCATCTTTGGGTAATTCGGAATGTGCCCATCCATTGAAAGCCTCTGAAATTGAACCAATATGTACATACAAGGCTACTTACCTGGCAGAAGCCTGCAAGGTGAGATATGAACTCAATGGCCAGTAACTCGCCATCCTGCATCGTCCGACTGAAAGGTTGAGCAACTTCGATGATGGTTGCATCATTTTGTAACTTCCGTTTGAGAAGGTCTAACATCAAAATGTTGCGGTCGAATTTCTGCCAAAAATCCTTGGACCTGAAGGGAGGCATTTCCTTCTCTTTTCTTTTGGAGGGCTCTTGTTGGTTTCAATATTAACATGAAAATATATGGGATAGGATGTACTGTTAGTTTGGATGAGAATTGATACAGAATCGTATGGGAGAGAGATCACTGAACTGGTCTGGGTTGGATTATCACCGCACGTGCACTTCAAATGTACCCTGCTGGTCTTCCTCAACTCTCTGCAATGAGCACACTGAGCGGGTGGCCTGCCTGTTTGTATATCAAACAATAGCAATCAGCAAGACTGATGATGATAGTTGGATTGAGAGCAATCAAGGGACCCTCACCTTTTTTACAGATTTCTACCAAAGTCCAATCGGCGTGACAATAGCTAGTCAATCAATGTTCTTGAATGCACACCCCACACGCAAATTTTTAACCTGCATATATATACTTAGCTAGACAGACCAGTATTTTTCAAGTTGTACGAGTATGGATTGCTTACTGTTGATATCAAACAATAGCAATCAGCAGGGCTGACGATGATAGTTGGATTGAAAGCAATCGAGGGACGTTCACCTTTTTTACTGATTTCTACCGATCGGTGCGAAAATAGCTAGTTGATCAACGTCCTTTGATGCACACCCCACACGCGAATTTAACCTGCATATATGTACTTAGCTAGACAGACCAGTATCAACGATGAAACGGATGCGATGCGTGCATCGGCATCGCATCGGAGTGAGCGATGCGGGGCCGAGAATCGGCATCGTATCGGTTTACTGATGCAATGCCGATACTTTGCAGGCGATGCCGATATTATCGGCAGGCATCGCCTGAACCTCCCTCCGGAGCCCCCTGACATGAGGAGGGACTCAGGAGGGTTTGTCGTGTCGCTGTGTCCTGAGTTCACTCAAGGCCGAGTCACTCCGAGTCCAAGCAACGATGAAACGGAACTTAAGCGCCGCCGCCACCCAATCCTGACCAACTCAACAGCGACTCGGACTCAAATCCAATTCGTGAACTCGATTCACCTTGCTTGGAATCGAATCGGATGAACTCCCCTCGACGGTCGTTCACTGCCATCAGGATTCGACCGTTATCAAACAGACCAAACGGCTCGTCAGCCTGACTCTGAGGAACCCCACCCCGTCGCTGGTACTGTAGTGTACCGATTGATCTCCAATTCTTGTCTGACGACGAGTTGAATCACTCTGAGCCTGACAAGTTTCTCCTTTTTTATTCAATATCCAGGTAGTTTGTACCAATCAAGCGAAATCTGGCTCACTTCACCGCTATCGCTTCACACCGATGTCGCTTCACCACTATCGCTTCACCGACATTGCTTCACCGCTATCAAGCAAAGGTACCACACCAATCCAAAGAAACCCAAAAACACCAAGCACCCAAAAACAAC